GATGATTTTACCGTTAGAAAAAAAATAAAAAATAAAATAAAGAACGAACAACGAAGAGCCAATAGCGTGCAGGCTGGCAGGCTGCAACAAGCTAGTTGGGGAGAGAGCCGTTCCCCTTTTTTTTTTTTCAAATTTTCAAATTTTTTTTTCACGGGCCAACGTGTTAATTGCTGCCCGTGAAGGTGCAACCCGCGAAGCCAATGGGTCATACCTCTTTGACCCGTGAACCGCCCCGCTCGAGTCATGGGTTGTCCCGCTGTCCCGGGTCGATCCGGGCCGATTTTCACTGGTCTGATTGGTCCGTCTTGACACCTCTAGTTTGGTGGAACATAAAGAGAGTCGAAACATTGGTTTGTACGTATTTCAGTTGAATGATTACATATAGTCTGAGGTGATGTAACCCAGGTGCGTGTTAATCCGTTGAACATTAGGATGAGATACAAAGGGATTAATTTTATGTGTCCGCATTATTCTTTTCATTTAGTGTTCTTCTTTGAATTTCAAAAATAATACTAGTCTTGTTAACTAGTTAATTGATTGCTACAAAAAGAATTTTTAAACTCTCATTGAAAAGTGGTTGACCAACATTTTTTTTTTTGAAAAAATGTTGTTTTGAATAGTGTATTTTTTGAGAATATGTGGTTAAAATGTAGGAAAATTTTTTGAATCTATGTATGAAATATTTCATTTTGTAAATGTATTGCTAAAAATGAGTACGTAGATTTTTTTTTTTTGGGAAATAATAAGTATGGATTTTGTAGAATTTCTTAATTTTAATCGACTCATGTTGACATTCCAACCTTCCTTCTCCTTTCAGGGCCTATTTGAAAGAAAATTCAGTACTTCTTGATCACCACCCCTCCAAAGTTAAACTGGGCATCAGGAGCCGTTGCGCCAGGTGCTAAAGCATTGGTGTTTTGTATGATAGTAAAGCACCATATTTGTGAAATTTTTGACTTTCAAAATAGAAAGGTCATACATGTAAAAAAGTCGAGCGGAATTTTCAGAAGACGGCAGAGAATTAAAATATTTTAATTTATCATTTCATTTACTTAATTCTATTTTTATTGAATATAATTTTAATTTTCAAACATAAAAATAAAATAAGTAACATTCAAAGCAGCGATCATATTTCTTTCTTATCGTTCAAATTTTGCACATAAATCTAATTTTACAATTTTTTTTATACCTCATAATTATTCGACGTACTAATATATATAATTTTTTATTCAAATTTTTATAATTAACACTATTCTTTTGAATTTTATATAGATTTTAAATATTCCTTACTATGACACATGTGCTGTGTAGAATTTGATTATTAAAGTTTGACTCATACTTTAAAATTTTAAATACTTGAAAGAAAGAACATAGGAAAATTTATAACGAAAAAGGAATATAATGTATCCATTAAAAATCACTATTTTTAATTAATGATGAATAAAAAACTTATGACGGTAAATTATGTATACTTAAACGAAGCATTAACAAAGCTATTTATTATAAGAAAAAAAAAAATGAATCTTTGTGAAATTTTAAGTAAAACATTGGCTTCGACGATAAATTGGAGATTAATCAAAATCTAAACTAAAACCCTGCAGACTTCAAAATTGTGCATTTTGCTATTAAAATTTCAGATTTCAAGTTAGGTGTTAAATTGGTTAAGCTGCGAATACAGCAGATTATTTGTTGAATTTTCAGGCCAGGGGAATCAGCATGGAAGAGTTGCAGATATCTCCAGCCGATCCACGGGGGAGTCCAGGGAAGGAGCAACAGGCTGCTGGAGTTGGTATTCTTCTCCAGATCATGATGCTTGTTCTCTCCTTTGTCCTTGGTCACGTTCTTCGACGTCACCGGTTCAATTACCTCCCCGAAGCCAGTGCTTCTCTTTTGATTGGTAAATTTATTTCAGTTGTGTTAGAATTACGGATCTAACAAGTTAAATATCACTCATTTTCAGTTTCAGTTGATTGTGCTATCGCATTTCACTATAATCTGATTCGTATATGTGGATGTAGGTTTGATTGTGGGTGGGCTGGCTAATATCTCCAATACAGAAACTAGTATTAGGTATTTTGATCATTTCCTTTTCTTACCCATTTTGTGGCAATGAATACTATTTTGAGTTCGACTTGTAATGTAACTCTCTTTAATAATTTTTTGGTTGGGCAGGGCATGGTTCAACTTCCATGAGGAATTTTTCTTCTTGTTTTTGTTGCCACCGATCATATTATATCCTTGCGCCAATGATTTTTTTGTCTCCTTTTTTTCAAAAAATAATAAAAAAAAAAAATCTTAGCTAGATGTCACTTCTTTCTGTTTCCATTCTATTGCTTACTGATTGACAAGTAGAAGCTTGTTCCTTGACGTATTTTGTGCTTACTCAGTCAGGATTCAGTCTACAACCTGTAAGTTGCCTCTATCTTTGGACTTTAATTCGTGCTCCATTTTTTGGATTGTGGATATAGTAGGTGATGTAGGAGAAAAATGTGCAGTAGGCTGATTTAATGCACACTATTGGCCTCACTATAATGAAACATACTCCTAGCACATAGCAATTTTAATCCGATTCGAGGAAACAAATAATAAAATAATTTAGTTTTCAATGGGACATGATACCGGTGGAAAAACTAGACAAGTTAGAGAGCAAGATTGTGTAATAAAGCAAGAGTAGTGCCTATGGTGGGTTGCTCCATGGTACTAGGATATTGTTAGAGCTAGAGTGAGCATATGATGAACGCACACTTAACTATTGTAAGTGTGAGTTGTGCAGTGCTATCAAGCAAATAGAGAGGAAAATAAACACTAAGTGGTTTGTCAATGGTCAAGATAGTAACTTTATTAAGTCTCTTTTCCCTTCTAAGCAACCCCTTAAGACAAAGCTCACTTTTCTACCTTTTCATTTTCATTTTTACGATCCAAACAGAGACCTAATAGGAGCTTCATTTCCATTGCTCTAGATCATTTCCTGGTCTAACACGATCATTATGGATGAAATTTGCAGAAACCATTCTTTTCAAACTTTGGCGCCATTATCACTTTTGCAATTCTGGGAACTTTGATTGCTTCTATTGTCACTGGCATTTTGGTGTGAGTATCATCCCTCATCACACTTTTCAAGTCTTCTTATAAGTTTTACATTATCGTAGATTTTTTCAAATTATACATGTCCTCAATGGAATGTTTCTGTTATGATTTATAATCTCTACTTGCAGTTACCTTGGTGGTGCGATGTATCTCATGTACAAACTTCCATTTGTCGAATGTCTGATGTTTGGTGCTCTCATATCAGCTACTGATCCTGTCACTGTTTTGTCCATATTTCAGGTTATCTATGCTAGATATTAATGCAGTATGTAATATTTTCTTCAACATCAGTTTGCCATTTAATTATTAAAATTGACAACCTAATCATGCAGAAACAATTTGCATGATGAGAAACAAAGTAAATTTATACCCATGCAAAACATTATATTTTTGTCATGTGAATTGGCTGTTATGATGAGTCTAAACTATTTTTCAACAATCAAATTTTTTAGTGTAAAATGACTTCTATGCATATGCATGTAATTGTTAACTAGATGATACTCATTAGGCTATTTTCTTCATACAGTGACTACAGTCTCTTGGCTTCTAAGTCGTGTTGGAATTGCATGTTCCTTGTCACGTTTACATTATTTTATGAAGTTGTGATACTGTAGCTTTTCTGGAAGGAGAATTGAATTATTATTCACTGATCAATTGAACAGTAATGATTCTTTTAACATCGAGATTGATTATATTTGTTAGTTTTACTATAGAAGTAGGTGTCAATTTTCTAATGTTTCGTAACTTCATTTTAGGTGAACAAGAAGGTAATTTGATTTATCTAAATACAACTTGCTTCACTTGGTTAATTATAAATAATTCTACATTATTTATATTGAATCTAAGGAGCTGTCATTGTTATCAATATTTGAAAATGGGCAATTTTTGGGGGTAGATGACTAATAACCTAAATTAAAATGCATTTGGGTTTTCATTGTCAGCCTAAATAATCCTAAGTTAAAGAGTTGAGTTATTCTATATGAGATTGGAAGTCTTCTTAAAATTTCAAAAAGTGAAGTTAATCTCGATCTTGGTGTGTTGAAGTATCTGTACATTTAGCAACACTTTCACAGATTTGAAAGAGTTAATTTTCTGTTGTTCACAGCAGCTTGAAACTACTCCATTTATTACCTTTTTGAATTGGAATTAAAAGTGCCTAGACCAATTCTTTCACTTGCATTGCAACAGATGTTAGTTGGAACTTAGGAACTTATGGACCTGTTGCCACACCCTGGATATGGGCATTACACCTTCAATATATGAAAAAAGGGTACACAGGACTGGTACATGCGGTCCAGCTTCCTAAAGTAAATACTAAATAGAAAAACAAAAATCTTTCAAGATTGTCTGGTCTGAGTTTGGGAAGTCAGTTTGTCACCATCAGATGTGTGTTCTGGACCAGTCCAAGCTGTGGATCTCTCTGTTAATGCTGATTAAATTAATATCTTATTTTATAATTCAAGAAAAGGTACCAGTATTTACTTTTTCTGGTCTTATCCAAGACTAAGGATGTACCAAATTTTAACTCCAATTGATTTAACTAGTACGTTGCATCATAGAATAATCTCCAATGGCTTGTACTTGCTATGGAATATTGTAGGAGCTTGGTACAGACGTGAATCTTTATGCTTTGGTCTTCGGGGAATCTGTTTTAAATGATGCAGTAAGTTTCTACTGGTTTTGTTTACTGATTTCTCTCTTTATCACGAGGATGGCTTTTGCATAAATCTGACACGTTTCATTGGGTAAATATTATTTATTGATTTATGTCTGTTTCTTGTATGTTTCACTATTGGAAGATGGCAATTTCCTTGTACAGGTATGTCAAATTGTAGTTATCCATCACTAATGGGAATAAGATTCAGTTGCTATCAATATCACAATGCCGAATTTTTTGTAGGACAATGTCATTGGTGAGGAGCAATACGGACTCTGGACAAAATTTTTTCATGATCATTGTCAGATTTCTTGAGACCTTTGTTGGCTCAATGTCAGCAGGTTTGTACTAACTAACGGTCCATTTGAGAAACATGAAGTAGCCTCTATCTCACTTTTTGTTGACGGGGATTGAAAACCTTGAGATTTTCTTGTTCTCTGTGATCTAAAATCATCTGGACTTTGTAGACTTTCCATTCATTATAGCCAACTTTAAGATTCTTTTCTTTCCGCTCCTCTGGGTTTCCATTGTTTTGAATTTGTGCCGGATGAATAGAAGACATGAAGAGAAACATTGTAAAGCTTGATTGATCAACAAAGGAAAACCTCCATTTCTTTGGAAAAAGTTATTGGCTAACCCTGAGCCAAAAAAAATTAAAGTGATTTACTGGAGTTATACCTGGCTAAATTTCAACAATCAACTGACTGCTTATAGTTCTGGAAAGACATGAATTCACGATTCAGGGACAATCATAAAATATTCGGACTACAAGCTGTTTTAAGAATTTCTGTAGCACGTCCCAACTGTGATTCAACGTGCTTGTTGATAGAAGCTGTTTGTTGAACTAATGAACTCTATGTTTTGTTTAAGTTTTTTAATGGTGTCACTTTGTAATTTATTTAGTAAAGCAAATGCTAAAGTCTTTGCCTGCTATCTTATGTATCTTGCTGCAGTTGATCTTTGGGAGTTTCTGGTTTAATGCATTTTGTAGCATTTTATATTTCTATTTTTCTGTGGGTAGAATTTCGAGATAAATATTCAAGGTCACTAATCATAAATTGTTTCTAAATCTACAGGGGTTGGAGTTGGATTTACATCTGCTTTGATATCCTTTTGAATTGCTTTATTCTTCCCGATCTACAAGTCTTGCACTAAAGTATTTTTAGCTTATAGCACACTTGGTTAATCCTTAACTCCCAGAACCTTTTCAAGTATGCTGGCTTGGATATTGACAAGTAACAACATATTCTTTATCTAGTTATTTTGCCAAATTGTGACTAATCTATATCAAATACTTACTATAATTCTTTACTTCTGCAGTCTTCAGAATTTGGAATGCTGTCTGTTTGTACTTTTTCCATATTTCTCGTAAGATGCTTCTGGGATATTCTATTTTGTTTTATGCACTCAATTCTGCCTTTTTACACTCACTTTATTTTCTTCGTTTTCAATTTTCATTTAGGTACATGCTAGCAGAAGGGCTTGGTCTCTCCGGTATTGTATCCATATTATTCACTGGAATAGTAAGTGAATTATGTTTTTACCTTGTACACATCTTCGTTTGATAACTTATTGTGATGTGACATGGTACATGGGTAATTTATGTGTCAGGTCATGAAGCACTATTCATATTCAAATTTGTCAGACAATTCTCAGAAATTTGTATCTGCATTTTTTCATCTGATATCGTCATTGGCAGAGACATTTGTGTAAGGAATCCACTTTAATATTGTTGGACCATTTTAACTGTATCTTCACCTGCACTGATCTTTCATTCTCGTTATTATGCAGATTTATATACATGGGATTCGATATTGCCATGGAACAGCACAGCTGGTCACATGTTGGATTTATCTTTTTCTCAANNNNAAGTTTTAAAATGATTATGCATAAATCTAATACCTTTTTATGTTTGTTTTGTAAAGAGCTGCAAATGTGTTTTCTTGTGGCTACTTGGTGAATATGTTTAGGCCAGCACATCGTCAAATACCACCGAAACATCAGAAAGCACTTTGGTACAGTGGTCAGTGGATAAGAAACTTTTCATTATTTGATCTGCCTTCCCTTGAGTCCTTCCTCAAAACACACACACACACACACGGGGCTTAATGTTCAAATGTATGCCATCCATGATTAGGACTTCGAGGGGCTATGGCTTTTGCTCTTGCGTTGCAATCAGTTCATGATCTTCCAGAAGGGCATGGTCAGACTATTTTTACTGCCACCACAGCAATAGTTGTTTTGACGGTAGGTAAAATATTTGTTCTAAATAAACTACAAATTTGGGAGGACATTGAGAAACATGCATTCAAGAGCATTATATATCATTAAAAATGCATTTCTCGAATTTTCTGATTCAGTCATCATAGAAGATTTCTGTTGAAAAATTCAATGGTCTTGCAATTTTTATCGAAGTTCCTGAAGGATTGGAATGTTCTAAGAACATAACTGGGTTTTGTGATAGTTCTCAACACTTTGCCATGGATCTTAGCCTTATTATAACAAGGTTCTGCGTTGGTTTCTTATATTAGATTCTGGGTCTCAATGTCCCTGTTTATGGGGTCCTAAAGTCGTGCCTTCTGGTTCTTGTATCTGTCATTGCTGGCTCTTTTCACAGATAATAGATGCATATACCTTGATGGTTACTTAAGCGATTCAGTATGAATGTTACTTTGAGGCTTTAAGTATTAAAAGGTAAATGCTTACGACTGGTCCAGGGCCAATTGCTAAGAGAAAATGTGTATTAAATTCTTACTGAACTTGTGTATTTGTTATTGCTGAGAGAAGTTTGATAATTATGTGGTGCTATTTTACCCACGTAATTCTGTCTAACAGGCAGTATATTCAAGATAATTATGTATTGACAAAAACCAAATGAAAGGGCCAAGTTGCCACTAAGACCCATAGTAGAATATATGAACAAATTAAACTTTGTTTAGATGTCTGACATTTCTGGCCGTATGGGAACTTTGCAGGTCTTGCTGATAGGAGGATCAACAGGTACTATGTTAGAAGCTTTACAAGTTGTCGGTGATGGTCGTGATGACTCATTGAGTGAAGTAAGTACATTAGTAGATAATTTATAGACCTCCTGCCTGCAAACTGGTGATTATACATTTGTGAATCAGTTTATATAATTTAATACTTCCTACTAGTTTGTGTGGGTTCTAACTAACAACAGAAAAGATGAACATTATCCCTGATCTCTCTTGGTAGAAGTGATCTGTCAAAAATTATTATCTTAATTTGACAAATCAAATTGTTTTCTTTATTGGTTCCAGGGATTTGAGGAGAACAATGGCTATGTAGCTCCTTCTTATGAAGAATCATCATCATCTGGGAACAGATTCAAGATGAAACTTAAAGAGTTTCACAAAAGGTACCGTGACTGTCATCTGTTGTCGAACTATTACTTAAAATCATTTTGAAGTTCCTTAATTTATTATGTTTTCTCTGGGTTCTTTCCTGCAGCACCACGTCATTTACAGCACTAGATAGGAATTACCTCACTCCGTTCTTTACAACTCAAAGTGGAGAAGACGATGAACATGGTAAGATAGGAGCATAAACTATAGCTGTCTTAGTTGATATGCTACAAATATAAAATTCATGATATGACTAATCGTTAACAAATATGGGCATCTGATTATCGAAGAACTTGCGCCCTCACAGCAGGTGACAAGTGATCTATTTGCTCAATGATTAGCGACCAATAGCATACAATTTAATTTAGCATGTCAAGGGATCTGGACTATATTCATGAGAGTGGGTGTCTATTCGTTATATTATTCTTGCAAATCATATTTTCTTATAAAACCGCTCTTTCATCAAAAGCCTGTTCAATGCTTTTGCAGATGAGCTTTTTCATGACTCCAGAAGAGGGAATTTTTGAAGCCATGTCTAAACTCCCGACTAACAATACATTGGTTTTACTCATACTATAAGTTGGAAATGATTTATACATGGAAAAAATGTTACTGGCAAATGAAGTTGGAGATAGCGACCAATTTGCCACAAAATGTGAACATCTATCTGTCTCTAGGAGTATATCTTTATACACTTGTAGGCTCTATGATTCAATATAGAAACAGTAGGTCAAAATAGGGTTGAACATGGTTCACTGGATCTATTTCAATCAGAGCCTAGTTTCTGTACATGATGTGTGAACTGCTCAGTACTGGCAAAGGAGATTAACTGAGTGGTTGTACATGTTCAATATGTTATATCATTCCTGATTTTGCTTCATGTTTAAAACCTTAATTTTTTAGCCAATTAATTATTTTCATTCTTTTTGTCTTTAACGTTTGTATTAAGGCCTGAAAGCTAGCGTAGAATGAATTCTGAATTATTAATGGACGTACTGATTAAAAAAACACGAGTAATGAAATGCCAACTTTTCGGTAAATGTCTACTTTTGACTTAGTAGTGGTCATTTATATGCTCCCTCGTGTATTAGGGTGATTGTTGATCATTGATCGTCAACCTGTAATAGCGAGATTTTTATTAATATTTTATTTAAATTCTTCAATCAATATATAAATGCACTAAAACATAAAAATCATGTACATATGAAAATATAATCCAACTCAACTCAAAATAATAAAAAAATTTACAATAACAAATACATGATACAACCTTATTCCGTCATTGTAAGTTGAGACAACTGCATTCTTCGGAGTCTCGTTCTATGTACACCACAAGATTGTCATTCAACTAGTTATTTATCATTTTATTGCTTAAGTCACTCTTAATTAGATTCATAGTAGAGTGCCTTTTTCAACATTTGCAGTTGCCACTGGTAATATCAAAGTCAATGCAATGAGCCTCTAAATCAATAAGAAATAACAAAAATTTCTTATTTCAATCAACTTCTGAGCTACACAGGATATGTTAGGCAAGGGAGTGCGGTCATTCCAATATATATACTCATTATTTTTCCAACGGAGCCGCAAGGATGGCCATCCTAGTTCATCGGGTGTTGGCTCTGCCCTTGTTTAGGGATGACAAAATAAATTTGGGTAAAGGAAACTGAAATGTCAAAAACAACGTTAGCAAAATATTTCAATTAAAAGATATTTGTTGTATACAAAGAACAATAGACCAAAAGGGGTAAAATGAAGACTCACACCTCTTGGAAAGGTAATAATCATGTACATATTGACATTTAAAAGGGGATAATTGCAGCAGCGCTACCAAACTTTTCTTTTAGTAGCAGATTTTGTCCAAACCTTTCATGATGCCATCCACGGTACCAATATTTCAAAAACTCGCAACCAGAGTCCAATTTAACAGAAAATGTTAGTTTGACCGTTAGTTGACTGAAGAATTGACCTTAACCATAATTTTGACTAATTTTACAAGGTTAAAATGGTAAATTTACACTTTTCAACAAAAAACACAATTATAATATATTAATAATTAAATAAGAAAAATCAAACACACCACCCATCACCATCCCCTTCTT